AATGGCCAAACTTTCCCAAATTTGATGAAAATTATTCTGTCCATCTAAGAAGGTCAATAAATTTCAAATAGGCTGGGCACAGTGGCTCTCACCTGTGAACCCAGTACTTTGGGAAGCCGAGATTGGAGGATTGCTTGAGTCCAGGAGTTCAAGAGAAGCATGGGTAACATAGCGAGACCTCATTTCTTAAAAAAAAAAAAAAAAATGGCTGGGCATGGTGGTGCATGCCTGTAGTCCCAGCTACTCAGGAGACTGAGGCAGGAGGATTGCCTGAGCTCAGGAGGTCAAGACTGCAGTGAGCTATGATCATGCCACTGCACCCCATCTGGAGTGAGATCCTATCTCAAAAAAAAAAAAAAAAAAAAAATCCAAGTAGCATGAATTCATTACCTTCTCCACAGGCTTTCATCCTGGTAAACTAAACAGAAACCTGGTCATTCCCAGATGGGTGCAGAATGGGTTATTATCAGATGAGCACTGAGAATATTTAGGCCAATTATATATGATAGACAGAACCTCCACTTTATTCTTGGATTTCCTGCTACACAGAAAACGACCAACCCAAGAATCAATTACATACAATCCAGTATCAGTCACTGGTAGATTTCTCAAGGATTTTATTATAAAATTTTTCAGACACATAGAAAAACTTAAAAGAATAGTATAGCAGAGACCCTTACATACATCACATAGATTCAACAAATGTTAATTTTTGCCATATTTTCTTTATCTTCTACCTGTAATCTATATCGCTGTTCTATCCAGTTTGCTGCTTTTGACTGAACTATTTGAAGGTAAATAGCAGACATCATAACCCTTCACCCCCAAATGCCTCAACTTGGATCTTACAATAATGTATTGTCCTACAAAGCACAACACCGTCACGATGTCAGTCCTTTAAGGGTGTGGTATTTAAGAAAGAAGGGGGCTTACACACTGAAGAAGACTAGCAAGCTGAAAAAGAGAAACTTAGTCTCAATGAAAGTTTCAAGCAAGAAGGCAACAGTGAAACTTTCTGAAGCCAAGAAGCCTACAGATCTGGGGATATTATAGAAGGTAGCAACAGAGCCTTCATTATATTTAAAGATCATATGGCCAGGTGAAACCAGGCTCTACTACATAGACTCCCATACAGTTACCTGTTCTGGAAACTGGACAGCCACTATCCTTTAGATTGGTCCAGTTGAGGACTGAAATCTTCTAATGCATCTGTAAAAAGACGAATACAATGCAGATCACCCAAGATCCAGCAGGTAAAAGAGAAAGAGAAAAAATGTTAAATCTTAGGATAGTGCCCTTTTCACATGAGATTACTGGCTCCTGGCTCACTTTTTACTTGTGGCTGGCCAAAAATTGTTGCCCCTATTGGGAAGTTTGAGATAGTGGGTTCAAAGAAGTATCTGTAACTGCTGAGCAGACCACTGAAGACCCAATGGTGTTGAGTTAGAGAAAGGGAGTAAGGAGTAGGAAGTAAGAAAACTGTCTTTTGGGTCAGGGCCCATCACCAGGCTCATGCTTATAATCCCAGCACTTTGGGAAGCCAAAACGGTTGGATCACTTGAGCTCAGGAATTCGAGACCAGTCTGGGCAACATGGCAAAACCTTGTCTCTACAAAAAATACAAAAATTAGCCAGGTGGCGCAGCCTGCGCCTGTCGTCCTAGCTACTCTGGAGGCTGAGGCAGCAGAATTTGAGCCTGAAGGCAGAGGCAGAGGTTGCAGTGAGGCAAGATTGTGCCATTGCACTCCGGCCTGGGCAACGGGAGTGAAACCCTGTCTCAAAACAAAGCAAAAAACAGAAAACTGTCTTTTGAGTAGAGCCATTCAGCCTACCTGACAACTAGCTGTGTAAAGACAGGGCATATGCAATTATTAAAACATTCATACCATTACAGAAGAGTATATTAAACACAATTAGACACACATGACATTTTAACATGTGATGGGAACACCTATATGTGGACAACTGTGTAATACCACTCAGATCAAGCAATGGAGCATTCCAGAAGTCCTTTTTATCCATTCCTATGCTATTAAGCATAGGGGCATTATGGGTGTCAGTGCTAGGAGATCATATAATATTCATCTTTTTCTGCCTGGCTTATTTCACTTAACATAATGTCCTCCAGGTTCACCTATGTTGTCACAAATGACACGATTTCTTTCTATTTTTATGGCTGAATAGTATTTCATTGTGTATCTGTGCCACATTTTCTTTATCCATTCATCCATTGACGGACACTGCGTTGATTCCATATCTTGGGTATTATGAATAGCGCTGCAATGAATATATAGTACAGATATCTATTCCACACAGTGATTTCATTTCCTTTGGAAATATGCTCAGTAGTGAGATCTTTAAGTTTATTACAATATCCTTACATGCTTATCATCAATAAAAAGCAGATAATAAAACTCCCCTTAAATTTACTGTCTACACCAAAGTATGTGTCATGCATTTTAAAACTGAAGTGCATATTATGGATATTTTTTCTTTTTTTAGTTTATAAAAGTAGACCTGATTAAATGCATATTTACAGCCTTTGATTTGGTTTTATAACAACTTAAACTTACTTAGTTTTATCACATATTTATGAATTCTTTAAGAATTTATACTCTTTAGTTTTGCTTGTAAGTTTTATAATGAAGGTATTATAATATGGTATTCTGAAGCTTGCTTACTATTTACGAAGTCTAAATTTATTATTTTTTCTATTATGTAGTGTCCTGTTTAAGAAATCATTGCCTAATACAAGGTTACTTACATATTTTTATGCTTTCTTGTTGAAGTTTAACAGTTTTGATTCTTATATTTGTAATCCATGTGGAGTTAATTTTGGTGTGAAGTGCAAGGCAAAGTGAATATCTAATAGTTTTGATCATATTTGTTAAACATTTTATTTTCCACATCATGCTCTTGCTTTTTTCTAACATCTTGAATATATGGAGTATATATAATATAGCATTTTTTAATGGACTTGCCTGCCAGTTCTATCACTTTTGACATTTTTGGTCTTTCTTGCTTGATTTTCAGCCTGGCAGTAGGTCATTTCCTGCATCTTTGCATGTCTGGTAACTTTTGACTAATTGGATGTCAGACATTGTCAACATTACATTGTTGTTTACTGGATTTCTTTTATTTCTTCAACTGTTTTTGAGGTTTGATGTAGTTAAGCTACATTAAAATGGCTTAATTCTTTTGAGGCTTGCTTTTAAACTTTGTTACGTGGGGGGTCCTAAACAGTCTTTTATCTAGCATTACTTGGTCTCCATTACTGAGGCAATACCCTTATTAGATTCTGTTAGAAGTCAACTAGATGTGTGGTCTTTCCTTTCTTGTTTTTTTTCTAAAATTGAATAATCTTAGACTGTACCTCATAGGGCTGTTGTAACAATTAAATGAGATTATAATAACATGCCTAAAACAGTCCCATGCCTGAAGTTTTCAAAAGAAGACATACAAACAGCCAACAATTTGTGAAAAGATATTCATCACTAATTATCACAGAAATGGGAATTAAATCCACAATGAAATATTACTTCACACCTGTTTGAATGGCACTTATAAAAAATATATAAAAGGTAAGCATGTGGAGAAAAAGGAACCCTTGCACACTGTTGGTGGTAATGTAAATTAGTATATCCATTATGGAAGACATTAAGGAGGTTTCTCTCAGAAAATTACAAATAGGTCAGGCAAAGTTGCTCATTCTTGTAATCCTGACACTTTGGGAAGCCAAGGCAGGAGGATTGCTTGAGCATAGGGGTTTGAGACCAGCCTGTACAACATAGTGAGTTCTTGTCTCTACAAGAAATAAAAAATTAGCTGGGCATGGTGGACTAATTAGCTGGACACACCTGTAGTCCCAGCTATTCAGGAGGCTGAGGTGAGAGGATTGCTTGAGCTTGGGAGGTTGGGGCTGCAGTCAGCCATGACAGTGCCACTGCACTCCAGCCTGGACAATAGGGCAAGACTCTTGTCTCCAAAAAAAAAAAAAATATATATATATATATATATATATATAGAACCACCATATATATATATATAGAACCACCATATAATCCAGCAATCCTACTACTGGGCACATATCCAAAGGAAATGAAATCAGCACTTTGTAGATATAGCTGCACTCCCATGTTCATTGCAGCATTATTCACAATAGCCAAGAGAAGTAATCAACCTAGGTGTCCAGCAACAATGAATGAAGAAAACATGGCATATATACACAATGGAATACTCTTGAGCCATAAAAAAGAAGGCAATCCTGTCACTTGTGACAACATAGATGAACTTGGAATACATTATATTAAGTGAAATAAGCCTCACAAAGAAAGACAAATATTGCTTGATCTCACTTACGTGTGGAATCTAAAATTGTTGAATTCATAGAAATGGAGAGTAGAATGGTGGTTACCACGACTAGGGGAGGGAGAGGGTTGTGGAAATGTTGGTGAAAGAATGAAAAATTTCAGTTAGGACATGAACTTTTATGTTTAAGAGATCTATTGTACATGATGGTGACTGTAGTAAATAACAAGGTTTGTAGTATTTCTTTTCTTTTCTTTCTTTCTTTTTTTTTTTTTTGAGGCAGAGTTTTGCTCTTGTGGCCCAGGCTGGAGTGCAATGGCGTGATCTCGGCTGACCACAACCTCCACCTCTCAGGTTCAAGAGATTCTTCTGTCTCAGCCTCCCGAGTAGCTGGGATTACAGGTATACACCACCATGGCTAATTTGGTATTTTTAGTAGTGATGGGGTTTCTCCATGTTGGTCAGGCTGGTCTCAAACTCCCGACCTCAGGTGATCCACCTGCCTTGGCCTCTCAAAGTGCTGGGATTACAGGTGTGAGCCACCGTGCCTGGCCAAGTATTGTATTCTTGAAAATTGCTTAAGAGAATAGATTTTAAGTGTTCACACCACAAAAATATGGCAAGTATGTGAAGTAATATATATGTTAATTAGTTTCATTTAGCTATTCCACAGTATATACTTATTGCAAAACAACATGTTGTACTGATAAATACAGTTTATTTGTTAGGTATAGGAAATGAATTAATTTTAAAAAGAAAAGTCTTTTTATGTACAAGGACTTCCTTTTTATTATTTCTACTTAAAACACATTTTTGTTTGAATCTATAGATGCTGACTTCTTAGAATGAGGCAGCTCCTGTAAAGGAAAAAAGTATATCTCATATCTAGAAATTCATCTTTGTTGAGGATATCCTTGATGAGACATTATCAGAATTGCAGGACAAACAGATACTAAAAGTACTGGCCATTTTCTGAAAGCTCTTGAACATGACAAAGTTCCAGGTGAGGTGTTTATTTACTTCCCATTAGATTTTTAGAAGTTTATAACAATATATGTAATCAAAGAGAAAAACAAATACAAGTACACTCTGGCTGGCAGGAATGTGGTTAGACTAGGAGACAGAATAAACGATCAAGAGTAGCCAATTAGGAAGGGAGATCTATCTTCAGGTCATAGGGTCCTGAAAGGTGCTAATAATTAGACAATGCCATATAAGTAGCAGGATCTAAATTAAGTTGCAAAAATTTCTGTGGCAGTACTGTCAACCATCACAAGATAATTTTTTAAAGTTACAAGACTTACTTTGTCCAGAAGGAGAAAGCACATAAATTCCTTGATATCAGTAAATATTTCCTGGGCATCAAGTGTGAAGAAATATCTTTGATGGATCTTCCTCTTCCTCTTCAGTTTTTGTGTTCCAGCATAGGGACCCAGTGAACAGTAATCTTTAAGGAAATGTGGCAGATCTACAAGGCACAGCTAGGAAACTTAAAATCTCTTCTCATAAAAATAACATAATAGTGCTTAAACAAGGGTTATTGTGCAGATTATTATGTTAATATATGTAAAATTTCTAAATGATACATAGCACATAGAACTCCTGACCTCAAGTGATCCACCTGCTTCGGCCTCCCAAAGTGCTGGGATTACAGGCATGAGCCGCCATGCCCAGCCTGAATAGTAAGATTTTAAAACCAAATTGTACTCTGGTCAGTCAGGAAAAAAAGTTTATTAAAAAGACTGAGGTCTAAAACTGATCAGTAATCACAACTCTTCTGTCCCTAGCTGAGTTCTGAAAAAGTGGACACAGCTTCTATATATGACTCATAGGAGATGTGCCTCTTTTTCTGTCTCTGGTTGAGATTCTTGCCTATTTGGCCCTTGCCTTTTTGCTTAGTCACTCTTCTTTTGCAGCCTATTAGATACAACCACCCTTCACCTCCTCCCAATATTTATAGACCTCTTCTATTATGCTTTCAAATATTCCTAGAATCTTTTCCAAGTTTGATGACACCTGTGTCCTTCAAGCCTATTATATATTTCTTTTATTGAATGTCTCAGCCTTACACTGTGTATCTGCAGATCACTTTCTGAATTTTTCTTGTGTATGAACTTGAGATTCCATCCCTCTCCATTTCATGATAATGGTAGAATTCATTGTTTTTTGTTTGTTTTTCACTAGAACTAATGTGGCAAGCATATGATTGGCATCAGGAAGATATTAAGAAAGATGAACCTTTGAAGATAGACTGTGAAAATAATGCATTGGGAAAAATATTTTCTTGGAGTGCAAGCTTTGTTCCCTTCAGAGACAGATCCCATAAATGTGACTCAAGAGGAGTAAGTTTGAAACAGAATTTATATTCAAATTTTCAGAGTAAAAGCCATGCAAAAATGAACTCTGATGAATTAAACAGTCATGGGAAATCACTTTTCTGCACCATACTTGAAACCTTCCACTCTCAAGGCCAGTACTGTGAGCATAATTTATGTGTAAAGGCTTTCAGTGTAGTGACAAATTTTACAAGACATCACAGAATTCACACAGAAAGGAAACCTTATGAATGCAGTGAATGTTCAAAATCCTTTCAGTATAAGTCACAGCTTATCATATACCAGAGAACTCATACAGGAGAGAAGCCATATCGGTGCAGTGAATGTCAGAGAGCTTTCAGTACAAAATGTCATCTCACTCTGCACCAGAGAACTCATACAGGAGAGAAACCATATGGATGTGCTGAGTGTCAGAAAGCCTTCAGAACAAAGTATCATCTCATTCTACACCAGAGGATTCATAAAGGAGAAAAACCCTACGAAGGCAAAGAATTTGGAAAGGCTTACAGGGAGAAGGCAACACTCAGATTACATTACAGAGTGCATACAGGAGAGAAAGATTTCAAGTGTAGTGATTGTGAAAAATGTTTTATGCAGAAGTCAAACCCAATTATCCATCAAAGAATTCATACAGGAGATAAACCCTATTGATGTAGAGAATGTGAAAAGGCCTTCTGTAGTAAATCTCAGCTTGTTGTTCACCAGCGAATTCATGTAGGAGAAAAATCCTGTGAATGCAAGGAATGTGGGAAAGGCTTTAATAAAAACACAAACCTCATAACACATCAAAGAATTCACACAGGAGAAAAACCTTATGAATGCACTGAATGTGGGAAAGCTTTTATACACACATCACAGCTTACTGTACATCAGAGAAATCATACAGGAAGAAAACCTCATGAATCCAAGGAATGAGGGAAATCCTTTAATAAAAAGTCACTTCATAATATCGAGAATTCATACAGGAAAGAAACCTTATGAATGCAGTGAATGTGGGAAAGCTTTTATAGACAACTCACAGCTTACTGTTCATCGAAGAATGCATATAGGAGAAAAACCTTATGAATGCAGGGAATGTAGGAAAGCCTTTAATAAAGAGTTGTCCCTCGGCCGGGCGCGGTGGCTCAAGCCTGTAATCCCAGCACTTTGGGAGGCCGAGACGGGCGGATCACGAGGTCAGGAGATCGAGACCATCCTGGCTAACCCGGTGAAACCCCGTCTCTACTAAAAAATACAAAAAACTAGCCGGGCGAGGTGGCGGGCGCCTGTAGTCCCAGCTACTCGGGAGGCTGAGGCAGGAGAATGGCGTAAACCCGGGAGGCGGAGCTTGCAGTGAGCCGAGATCCGGCCACTGCACTCCAGCCTGGGCGGCAGAGCCAGACTCCGTCTCAAAAAAAAAAAAAAAAAAAAAGTCGTCCCTCATAACACATCAGAGAATTCATACAGGAGAGAAGCCTTATGAATGCATTGAGTGTGGAAAAGCTTTTATAGATAAGTCACATCTCATTGTCCATCAGAGGACTCATGCAGGAAAGAAACCCTGTGAATGCACTGATTGTGGAAAAGCTTTTATACAAAAAGCAATGCTCATTATACATCAGTGAACACATACAGGAGAAAAGCTCTTTGTGTGTCTTGAATGGCAAAAAGCATTTAGCAGCATGGCAATGCTCTGTAGACATCAGTTGATTCATACTGGAGAGAAACCCCATAGATGAAATGAATGCGGAAAAGCCTTCTGCCAAAAGAGCCATCTTATCCATCAGTGATGCCATACTGGAGAAAAACCCTATGGATGCATTCCATGTGGTTAAATCTTCAACCAAAAGTCACAGCTCATCAGGCATCAGAAATGTTGTACAGGAGAAAAGCCGTATCAATGTAGTCAATGTGGGAAAAGCTTTTTTGAGAAATCATACCTCAGTGTCCATCAGAGATGTCATGCAGGAGAGAAGCCTTATCAGTGCAGTGAATGTGGGAAATCTTTTTCTGTCAAATCTTTTCTCACTACCCATCAGGAAATTCATACAGGAAACTTCACAAACACAGTAAGTGCTGGAAGGACTTCAGTGAGATGTCAAATATCCCTGAATATAAGATGATTCATATGAGAGACAACCTATGAGTTCAAAGAAAGTTGGCTATTTTCTCATTAATTTTGGCCTTTGTAAGCATCAGAAAAGTTATTCAGGAGACAGATTTTTTCAATGCATTGAACAAGGGAATATTATCTCCTAACAATGTAGCCTCATATTCGGTTAAAGGCAATATGAATTAATTGAAAGCTGGAAATTTTGAGAAGATAAATTCTATTGTATGTCACACAGAAACAAAACTTTTTGAATGCAGCAAATATTTTTGCACAGGCCATCATAAAATGGGGAATTTTTACTGAGAAAAAAAATCTCATGAATATTTTGAATCCTGGTTTGCTTTTCAAGCAAATGAATTTTTATACCCGAGAATACAGATAACTGAAGACCTGTGGATGAGATGCCTCTGGCATAAAGCCAAAACTCATTGTGCATCAGAGAATATTTATTGAGGAGAAATAGTGCAGTGATAAGGGGAAAGGTTGTCTACATAAGCAATTTTAGAATAAAAGTTCTCATCCTGCCACATTACCATGCATTCGTGGAAAATATAACACCAAATAGTTACGAAGAGTAAATAACCTCAGTATGACAAATATCACTTTGTTGCATATTTGAATATGTGGTATAGTCAGAGCAGTAAGTTAAGAATGGTCCCATATGTATGTATTTGCTTTGTGTGTGAGTTTGTAGAACATATATATAATGATTTTCAAATTTCAGAAGATAAAGAAAATTGTCTGTCAGATATTACTTGTCCTAGTTTGTATGTTTAGCTTCCAGCCAGAATACATCATTGTAAATTTTTGTGTATCATATAAATCGCAAGGGAAGTGATCAAATTTAAGATTAAAGAAGAACTATGTAATATAATACCATGTATCTTTTTTTTCTTTACTGATTTATGTAAATGGATATGGTAGTTCTTTTCAGCCTGTTGAGTAAGAGGTTTTTGTATTTTGGGTTTTTTTTTTTTTTTTTTTTTAAGCGAGAGTTTTGTTCTTGTTGCCCAAGCTGGAATGCAACGGTATGATCTCAGCTCACTGCAACCTCTGCCTCCCAACTTCAAGTGATTCTCCTGCCTCAGCCTCCCGAGTAGCTGGGATTACAGACTACTACCGCTATGCCCAGCTAATTTTTGTATTTTCGGTAGAGACAGAGTTTCGGCATCTTGGCCAGGCTGGTCTCTAACTCCTGACCTCAAGTGATCCACCTGCCTCAGCCTCCCAAAGTGCTGGAATTACAGGCGTGAGCCATCATGCCCAGCTTGAATAGTAAGCTTTTAAAACCAAATTGTACTCTGGTCAGTCAGGAAAAAAAGTTTATTAAAAAGACTGAAGTCTAAAACTGATCAGTAATCACAACTCTTCTGTCCCTAGCTGAGTTCTGAAAAAGTAGACACAGCTTCTATTTTCAAAGAAATGAAATTAAAATGTCACCTTTGGTGGTGGTATTGCTCAAATGGGGAATGGGGGTTGGACCTATTACCAGATGTGCTTCTTACTGTATCCCTGCAAAACCTAGTGTATGTGTTTCTTAGGGCTTGCATAACAAAGTACCACAAACTGGGTGGCTTAACACATTTTTCATCTTATAGTTCTGGAAGCTGGAAGTCTGAAATCAAGGAGTCAGCAGGGCCATGCTCCCTCTGAAAGCTGAAACCTCCCTGTCATCTTCCTAACTTTTGATGGTTTGTTCAGATTCTTGCATTCATTAGCTTCCAGCTGTATAACTCCAATCTTTATCTTTGCATTCACATGGTGTTTTCCCTATGTGCCTCTGAGTCTTCATATAGGTAGTTTACAAGGACACCAGTCATTGGATTATGAGTCCATACTACTATATTCTGACCTCATCTTAACTAATTAAATCTGCAACTATTCTAGTCCCAAATAAAGTCATATTTTGAGGTACTGGAGATTAGGACTTCAAAATGTCTGTGTGTGTGTGTGTGTGTGTTTTTTTTTTTTTTTTTTTTTTTAGAAGTGAGGCTATTCTATTCATAAAACCTAGCGATTTAAATGTAAATCTGTAAAGATAGTCTCAATTTCAGATCAGACACATTCAGACACAGGTACACTTGTCATGCCTCCCCACTGAAGAATGAAAAGAACAATTTGCGTATCTGTCTCTTTGAGGTAAGCCTTGAATCCCCTACCAATGATGCTTACTACTGTGACAGCACATACGAGATGGAATGTATCATTCTGCTGACAGGTAAACCCAAACACAAAAAGAGTATAAACTATGCATCCATGAACTATTTTCATAACTCACAAATATGATACCTCACTTCTCCTTTGGAAAAACAAGGTGAAAACACAAAAGGAATGATGTAAAGTGTTCTTCCCAATATGGTGGACATACCCGAAGTTAAAGTGCAGTTATAAGTATGAAAAAACGTTTAGTTTCCATCCAGAATAATCCATGACTGTAAAATTTTGTGTATCATATAAATTGCAAGGGAAGTAATCAGATTTAAGATTAAAGAACTCTGCAATATAACACCATGCATCTTGTTTACTGATTAATGTAAATGAATATGGTAGTTCTTTAAAAAGGGGGCAGGGGCTTTCCAATTACACTGAATGTGCAATACTATTCACACAATAGAGTACCAAAAACAGCAAAAATAAGTGGCAGAGGGATGACCATGACAAACCAGGTACACAAACTAGATAAGAACATATTTAGTGTATTTGTACCACTTACTGCCTGTATTGACTCTCAGACCCAAATCTACCCTTCCTAAACCTACTTTGTGGTCCTGGAACTGCAACTGATGAACATCTATTTGTCAGCTGGCACTGGCAAGGATATGTTGAGTGCAGTAGTAAAGATACACGGCCATAGCAAAGGAGCTTCTCTTCCTTGTTCCAGTACTTGTTTCTGAAAATGTGACTGCCAGCAGATTGGCAAGCTGAAGTTCTGGTTGCCTTCACTTCAATGTCCCTCATTGTTGAGCTCACCTCTCTTGTACCCTCTAGTAGGCTCATCAACCACCTTTAGGCCACTTTCTGCAGATCAAGTGTGTTCTGCTGGCACCCTTCTGTGAGTTCTGGCACCCTGTAGACTGCTTTTATTTCAAGTTACTTTCCCCTTGGCAGGTTGCATGTACCTATAGCAGCCACATTTCTCCAACGAAATGTACATCTTAGCTTTTGGGGATTGAGTTTCCCCTTTGACGTTCCTAGTGCCTTCTTTTTAAGCTTCCTTTAGCTCTAGAGTTACTAGCTACTTCTTGCATCTGCTGCTTCTGCATTGCTTGGAGTTCTCTTTTACTCCATTGAATAGTTAACTCCTTTTAATTTTTGAGAACATGTCAAATTACTGATATAATTTCTCAGTCCTGCTGAACCCTGAGTGATTTAAAAATAACTTCCATTAAATTAGAAAAATTACAAAGCAACTATGTTTTTCCACATACGGACAAATACAGACAAAAGAGAAAGAAGATAAAATTTGCGAGGGCTGCAATTATTGTGGGGATTTGGGGCAGGGGAAGATTTTATCAGAGAGGGCCATGTAGTGCTTACATTGTATTGATATTGTTCTCTCCCATTTCCCATATCCTCAGGTTCTATCTGTATCTATTTTTGGAACTGCAATAAAGTGCACAAACATTCCATCTTTAGTCTTTTTAACAGTTACGATCATGGTAGAAATAATTTTCTGTTGCTCTATCTTGAATCTTTCCTCTAGCATTTTCATTCTGCTATAAAGTAACCCTAATAAAATTTTAATGTAAGATTTTTTCAATAGTAAAATTTCCATTATTTTCTTTTTTGTTGCTTTTATTTATCTACTGAGAACTTGAAAACTCCATCTTTATTGATTTCAAGAGTGTTTATACTTACCTCATGAACTAAGTTTATCACAGCTGCTTTAAAGTCTTTCCCCTGATAATCCTAATGCCTTAGTCATCACAAGTTTGGTATCTGATGATTGTACATTCTCTTAAAAATTGGTCAGGGTCTCCTGGTTCTTTGTATGTTAAGTAACTTTTTATTGTACCCTTAGCATTTTCAATATTATGTTGTGAGACTTTGTCCTTTTAAAATCCTCTTGAAAATGTTAATTCCTTTTGTCTTAGACTGAAGTCAATCAGGTTATATTCAGACCATAAA